CAAAATTTTGAGCAAATTATCAATCGACCCTTGCGTTATACGCTCGAATATCGTTAATATAGGCGGTGTCTAGTTGTTTCCGAATGTCTGTATTACCGAGAAGATTGTAATCCACTAAATGACTCGCACTTCTTTCATGTTCTGTTGTTCTTTCCTTGAAGTGTCGTAGGTCCTCCACGCCAGTATTAATCCAGGGCGCTGGTTTTAACTAATTGTTGAGGACACACAAAAAACAAAACAATTTACACATCCAGGAATATTTATCCTAGGTGTTACGTTTATTAAAATATCTATGAGTCTCTCGTTTTGCCACAAACACTTTTTTTAGTAATAAATCGGGGGTGGCTCTCCCTAAATTTTTCACTAAAATTGTACCGTCGTTTCTTATTAAATATTCAATCGAATTAATCGCTTTTATTAAACAATTTCACTCGCGCAGAATGGAAATTAAAACCCGCCATGTTTTGATACATTATACAAGTCGAGCGAGATAAAAAAATTAGTTATGACACAAATTTTCGGATAATTTTTTAAATATTAAAAATTACTATTTTGGTATGTCCAGTGTGTTTATAGACGTTGTAATTTGGGGGGTGTAAAGATTTCGTTCTGTGTTAATTTGGTGCTTGTGTCAGTTTGAATAAAAGTAGATGGTGATTGCGGTGGCTCACAGTGGGCATCTGTTACCTGCCGATGTATAAAATTTCTGATGTTGTGATTCTAAACAAGAATCCGTCCGGTTACGACGAGTTGAATAATAGCGAATATTTTGAAATTGGGAACGAAATGTATATTTTGTAGGGTTTTGTAAACTTAGGAAACACTTTTACCCAACCCACCTGCCTTTACCAAGAATAACCCGAATAATAACAGGATGACAAATAAGTTCTTTTCATAACATTTGGCAAATACGAAGATTTCTTTTAAGATAAGAAAATATTAAATGTTTTTAAAGCACAAAAGAGCTATTATCGTGAGAATAAATTTCCCCGAGTAGAAGCTCCGTCGTTGGGTCGATTTTCCTGCGGTGAACACGCAATAATTCAAATGATACGAAAACAGAGCAGAATAAACGAAAATCGTCACGTAACCACAACAAATTAAAGCAAGAAAAATGCGTGAACAGTGGACATTGGTTATTTGCATACACCGAGGCACAACACCGGAGGTATATTGAAAACAAGAAGGCGGCATGTGTCAATATTAGCTACAACTTCAACTTGGGAGTGGTGCGCAGTTGAGAGCTTCCTGGGGAGGTCGCTTACAATAAACACTTCGAGAGGGCTACCATACTCTTCATCTTAGTTTACTGTGTTTACTGTTTCATTGACACCAAACTCAATATATCGTCTTACAAAGCACCACCACCAACCACACCTAATTAACAATCAGAAGAGGTCGCTCCTCGAGAGCTTTGGTGACGGCCTAATTACGAAAAACTAAACCGTTTTCCTAGTTCAGTCAGGTTCCGCGCAAAATCATCGCAAGAGCGCCACCGAAATTACAACGTGCCGCCATTTTACGTGCAAATTTTCCAACAAACAATTTTCACAACACAACAAGAGTTGCTACCGCTCTGAGACAAAAAATTCGATAAAAATCACTCATGGTTAAAATTCGGTATTTTTTTAACGTACTTTCAACGTTTCAGTTCACGTTCTAAAACAATAAAATTCCAACCATCGATTATTTTACCAGAAACTTAAACCGCAATTCACGCTAAATTACCAAACTCGTTTATGTTTAAAACACGTAAATTTGTAACCTAATGATAACCTCGAAAAGGAAAAGTTGCTCCCTTTTTGCAAATTTGCGTGTTTTCAAGCCGATATTTTGTGGGTAAATGAGTTTTCGTTTAGTTTAATTTGTGGTTTAATAAACGTCGGTTAAGTTTAAATTTGATTCGTCTGTTCGTGTTTAACGTTGTATCAACATCTGAAAAAGTTTAATTTAAGAAGTGTGCTTCTGGGCGTCTCTTTCGTTCCTTCGTCCGAGTTTGGCTCGAAATCAATCCTAAACCTATTTAAACTCGAGAAAAACTTCTTGCAAGCTCTTTTATCGTCGATATTTGTAGCCCGGCCGTCTGTAATTACGGCCCGTACAAAAACCGACCAAACAACATGTGGCTTAAGGTTGAAATCGTGTAATGTTAGATCGCGTACAATAGAACAAACAAAATAAAAATAAGAGACTCATCGGAACACAACATTTAATAAACACATAAACTGGTTGTTAAATGAGCCCGTCAAAAATGAAACGTTCATCAATGTAAGATAGCTCACTCTTTATACTCGAGAAACTAACAAAGACAATGATATTTGAAGTTATTTGAAGCTGACTTCTCAACAAAAGCTCCGATGAGCCGTCAACGCTAAATGCCCAAGTGTTTGGACCACTTCAGCTTCATATACAAAGAAAACCGTCACTCAAAATACCACTAACATTCCTATTGTAACATATACAATCATTTTATATACTCTTCCAGGCCACAATCAATATTATAAATCCAACTCAATGAGGTGCATTCTTAATTCATGATCATTTAATCACAGCTTTTGTACGCGACGGATTTTTTGTTATTTAAACATCGTTCCTCGACTCGGGAGACCGACTGAGGCCAAACACTCGACCACTGCAAAGAAACCTTCATATACGGGTGACTCCACAAAAACATGACCCGCCGCATGCATAGCAACCCATCACTGTTATACATTTTCTACATACACCAGTTTTTTTTCAATATTAATGTATATTTCTAAAAAAATCACCAGACGTATAGAAATTAAAAACCTGCATTTTCGTACATTCAGGACTATTTATACATAATTAATACCCTCTTTAAGTTCAGAGCACAACAGAAATTTAGTGGATATAAAAACAGTATTCTGAAATACTACTAATTAAAAAATACGTTATGCGTTGAAGATAAACATAATGTAAACGTAGTCTCAGACGGTATTTAGACGTCTAAAGGTAAGTTAAAATGACGTTTATTCCACGTGTTATTTATTTAGTTTTCCGTAAATCTATTTTTTACTTGGAAGGGTGTTTTGCGACGTGTTTTTCGATTGTGTAAAGTTAATCATGACTCACGTTCCTGCACTCGAAACGCTAATAACCCGGACACAATCGAGTACTCGGCCTAATTCGATCAGGTCCATGAATGAATCTGAGGGTTTTAAAAAGCTCGTACTTAAACCCCAGGAGGTACAAATATTGTGGGATTTTGACACTAAGTACTCATTGTAACGTCCTAATCTACTTGACACGACCACTGAACGGTATTGTGGTCCTCGGCCATTCAGTCGTTTCCCTAAAAAGATTTAAGACTTCGTGTGATTTCCTGAGCTTTTAAGCCTAATAAGAGAACAACCAGAAATGACTATAATTTCTTTTCTTCGTCTTCGAAATTATGAAAGTGTGACACGTGCATTGTGGAGTGCACTTCAGGGGTGAGAAAACAGCGTCCAACAAACAGAAAGTCCATTAAAATTCAGCCCCAAGAAGTGAATTCTTGTGCGAGCGATCTTTTATGCCTCTAAATGTGATGTTTCATGCACCGGTGCTTTATAATAGAGTAGCAATTGTAATTGTATTTATTGGACTGTGTAAATTAGTAAATAATTGTCGACCTAAACAGCCCTGTTTCAATGCTTTGTTAGCAGAATTCGAGTCTCCCGCCGAGACTTACTTACACTCCGAGAATTATTTCAACCCGCCTGACGCACTTATTGTATTTACACAACTCGCCCGAGCGGATAATATTTTATTCGTTATTCTTTCCCATTCAATAAAGGCGACCGTGTTTTTTTATAGATGAATGCAAATTTTCAACCCTCTTCGAAAAACCAAAATTACCCCACCAACGGAAAATCAAAGTAAAGACGGTTTTTTACGTCCTTTTTTTTTACGTTATTCCATCTTATGTAAATATGGAAACATTCAAACAAAGAGAATCAAGCTACCGTAAAATGCTTAATTAAAAGATAATTAATTGACTACATAAATTAAAATCTGCTTGTCATCCGAGATGTTCTGGCCGCCGGAAGAGCAGAAGCTCAACAAACCGAATTTTAATTAGTGCAACTGGACGTTATATTAACATTTTGCACGTAAATATACTATTGACACTTTCGGTTTTTTACACAATTTTTTTTAGCTACTAAATAACGTCGGATGCAGTAAACTCTGTTTCATGAAAGTAAATATACACCGGACGCAACATCAGCCGTACAATGTAAATAATTTTGTCAGTTGCCTTGTCTTTGTTTACAAATCAGTTTTTCTTAAGTATTATTTTAAATAATTTCTATCTACACACGTTTATAAAACGTCAACTAATTTCCTATCGAAACGTAAAAACGCATGAATACTTCCCTGGATGTTCCTGGAGTAAATAAAACACATTTGTCTACCATTTTAATATCAATGTCACGTAGGACCTGCTGCCAGTCTGTATAATCTTTCACAAAAAAGAGCACTAAAAAATGAAACATTTCCAAATAAACGTTTCGTGGCGTCTAGTTGAAGCCAATAATTTAATTCGCTTTTTTCGAATAACTGTAGAAAATTTCATCGATAAATTCAAAATATGTGAAGTACTGTGATATCGATGTTTGACAGTATTTGCTTCAATAACACCGTCCTTTGAGAGAAGTTTGAGTTAATAAATTTGATTTAGCGATGTGCTTTCGAACACAGCTCCAACTGTACTCAAAACTCCAACCTAGTTACCGTTAGAAATGTCGTCGATGTGAACTTACCTGTACTACTTTTTTTCAAATATTTTTGACTTTTAGTGACCCCCAAAATTAAAATAACTCTGTCTGGATATAAGTATATATTTACATATAATATATTTAGATACAGTTTTCATACACATATTTATATACAAATCTCGGTATTATCATGAACCTAGTAAACGTTGATCAAAATTGCATTGAAAAACGTAACGAAACAATAAATAATACCTCTATATGAACAGTGACTATTCGTATAAATAAAAACGGAACGGACAGCCTTCAGGTATAAATTACCTTACACTTTAAACACAATTCACTAAATCACTTAAGAGTCTGTGGTATCTGTGGCAGTTTCTGCAGTCGCACCCGGCCTTGCTTGTAACAAAGCTTGATAGTAGTTAACAATGGGAAACATATTAGGCCACTGTTTTGGAGAGGCCTCCTGGTGCTGGTCGCTGGAGACGACGTCGATGTCCTCTTCGGTGGTTTCTTCGCCCGAGTCCGGCGCCAGCAAAGAGGCCACGTCGAACTGACGCTTCCGGGAAGGACCGCGCGTGGGCACCTGGTGGACAACGAAGAAATTACAACGTGACACTTTTGGCCACAGTTTATGCCCCTAAATTAATATTAAGACGCCTTCACTGGAGTTTTATACCCGTGCCGTGTGTCGAACCGCATACCGTGGAATCCTTATTTTAGATATAATTTATACACATCACAAATATGTAGCATGCAAAATTTTTTTGCTTGATGAGAATATTTTTTTAAAAAATCAGTCAATGAAAATGCTTTTTTGACATGTGACACCAAAAAGTGACGTCAGAATATATGATATACGCGGTTAAAATGTGACTTTTATATTTATATGTTATACAGGCAAAATTTAATTGTTAAAAATCTGTTTATGAACTGTTTTGCATATTTGTTCTATTTCTAATTACGTATATGAACTTCATTTTTTTTTATCACGGAAGATTTATTTGGAAAAAATTCAAAAATCTAAAATTTAAGAAATGCGGAAATTAAAGAAATATTAGGTATTTATTTTTTATCCACATTTTCTACGTATTAACAAAAATAATTTTGTCAAATTATTAAAAATCTTCGTGAAACCGTTGTTATTTCTCCATTTCAAACTCCTGAAAGTCTACTATAGTATTTTTTGAAACATGATAACCTGGTATATGAAATTTTTTGTTTTGAAGTAGTTCAGATTCATCTATTTATTTGAAGATAAAATCATCGGAGGCCTGTGTTACACAAATTAACAATTTTTTTTGATACAAATATAGTGACTGCCAAAATTAATTCAAGCTACTATACAACAACTAGATACGTATATATTTTGAACATATGTTAACGCTAGTTTTATACATATACCGCCTGTCCCAGGTAAAATTCCACTGTCTTTCATCTACAGAACGGATAGAAATATTAATATTTCGTAAATGCTATTGTTTTTAGATTGAAGGGGAAAGCTTAATTTTAGGTGTTCGTTGTTACAATGACATAGGTACAATATCTATTTTGTTTTCAGTTGATAAAAAAAAGAAGTGGAATATTTTGTTTGATTGTACCTGTTGGCAAAAACGTCTACTTATATCTAGAACATCTTTTATAGCAGGAATTGAAAATATTGTTCTTCTTTTTATAGTGCTTTTCATAACTTTTAATAAACAGTCTGCCTCAAAAATTGCTGATAGTTTAAAAATCTCCTAAATGAAAATTTTTACATAACATTCTCTTTTGAAGTTGAAACACTAAATAGGTCGTACCCGAACTGCGTTGCAAATTTTGCTCAATTATTAGGTACATGGATAATTGACCGAATTGCTGTTCGTTCTCGATTTGTAGGGGTTCAGGGGGTTAAGGCATTGTTCTTAATGCAACTGAAAAAATTCGAAAAAGAGTAGAACCATCATTTAAATTTAAATTTTGGGGAAAACGAAATACTTCAAAGAATAAAGTGAATGTTTTACATAAAAACGAAAAATGATCTGGTTTGTAGACAGACGTTCATAGATTATAAAATTGTCCAGTAGAAAAGTAATGAAATTTTCGGATATAATTTTGTGATTTGTGTTGGCTACAAATTTGCTTTATTAAACGATTTCAGAAATTATCTTTCGGAACTATAGGTATCAGTAACAATAACATCTACCATCGATACAATTTATTTTTGATTAATGTTTTGAGTATTAAATAATTGTCTCCATCACTTAGGTACTTGATTAAAGTGAGACAGCTTAACCCATAACTAACAATTTTACCGCAGTTCGGTCAAGGATTATAAGGTATCAAGGTAGTTAGAAAATTTTGCACCGCAGTTCGGTTGCGGAGAAAAAATACACCGCAATTCGGACAGACCGACTAAATAATATAAATTACTAAAAGTGAAAATGTTTCCTTTTTAGAATAAAAAAAAATGGAAAACTAGCGCGAACTTTAAAAAAAGCTTTCACCAAATTTTTACAATTAGAATATTTGTGGCAATTTTCTTGTTGTTCAGTGTTATTGTTTCATTATTTCCATTCTAAAAATACAGATAATTAAAATGCATTGCAGTTTGTGATTGGTCACCAACCGTGCGTAATGAGTGCCATTATCAAACAAGTAAGATAATGTTCCTTGTAGAATTACAAAAAAATATATTACTGTGCTTTTTACATGTGCAAATTGGTAGTTATTGTAGTACATGTGAAAATAAAAAATAAAATAAATTCAGCATGTATGTATTAGGATTAATATTAGAATTTTATTTTATGTTAGAAATTGCACTTTAAAAAAAAAGAATTAAAAAATATTTTATTTCAGAAAATGTGAAAACTAGCAAAAATACATCTTGATAATTTTTGTAATACATTTTTTTAACATTTTTGGTGGGTATGTACAGCTATTTTGTAAAATGTTATAAATTTTTCATAAAATTTTCTTATTAATTTATGATCAAGGATTCTTAAAGCAAGTTTAATGGTCTTTCAGAACGAGTACGAGGAAATTTATTCGTTTGTAAAATACAGTTCAAAATGGCTGACAAACATTGGTTATGTTTAAAAGATTTCAAAAACTGCGCCCACAGTAATTTTTTCGCATTTGAACTATAAAATGGAAGTGGATCGAACCACTGATTTTAAACATATTTTAAAATGATGAAAAACCGTTACTTTTTTATTTGTTTGAATGTTTATGAAAGAAATTGTGACTAAATGTCTAGTTTAGGTTTTTAGTTATTTTTTTTTGGTTGTGGTTGCAGAGTAAAGTTGCAAATAAAATTATTTTTAACATAGACACACATATTTTTGATTTTGGAAATACACTTGAACAAATTCAAAATTTCAGGTTTTTTAAGTTATGTATAAAAGGATCTGAATTTGACAGAGTGGGTAACGGAAATTTTCAAAATCTGTTTAGACTACTTTTTGATTTATATTTTACAAAGCGTCCCAAAAATAACATTAAACTGACATTTAGAGTATGTAGTTACCGTAATTACTTAATTGTTTTTCCTTGAAAATCATTTATTTTATTTGTTCACTCAAAATTTTAACAAGTATTATATGATCCTACTTATTATTTTAAAGTATTTTCACATTCATACTTATTTGTGTTTTTTACGTTAGTTGTAATTGTATTGTCGACCATTGAACCACATAAATAATCAGGCGTATTTTTAGAAAATTTTGAAAAAATATTTGTGGATTTTATCGTTTAAATTTTACAAAGCGAGATGTTTATTTCGTGCTTTTTTGAAAATAACATTAAACCGACTTTTAGCGTCTATTTCACATTAAGTAATTAGGTAATTACCGATCGTACACAAAGTAAATTTAAGTAAAATTTTAACGTTATAATTAGGTTTTGATTACTTTCGAATCTTTTCGAATGAAAAATAAACGATTTGACCAGGATGATGAGAAAATATTTTTTGATGTTTTATCACGTCCGTAAACTTTTTTGTTGTGAACTTTTTACCGCCCTCGTGTGTAACAATTTTCTCGGAAAATGAATAGCCGCAAAGTTTTCAAAATATGGTTGTACAATTCGGAAAATATTAATTCAAACGTGAGTCTCGATATCTTCCCGTCGCACTGAATCATTCCCTCTTTTCGACCGTTATTTTATAAAATACAAAGCCAAAGATTTTTTTATTTAAACTAAAAATTGCCAAAATGATTGTAAAATTTCTTACTGTGTGATAGACGGCCGTAGAGGGCCCCGCCACCACCGGCGGGCTGACCGAGAGCGGCGGCGGGCTCGGCGAGTCGGCCCCGTCTTCGTCCACCGCCAGCCCCATGTGCTTCCGTACCTTCCGCTGCGCTTTGCGCCTCCGGAAATCCCCCTTGCGGAAGTCGTCCACGTTGGCCGGATGGATGGCCCAGTAGTGGCCCTTCCCGTTCGCGCTCCGGCCCGCTTTGATGAAGCAGTCGTTCAGGGAGAGATTGTGCCGGATCGAGTTTCTCCAACCCGGCCCCCGGGTCCTGAAATACGGGTAGTGGTCCAGGATGTGCTGGTAGATGTCCGAGAGCACCAGCTTGCCCTCCGGCGAGCTGAGGATCGCCATGGCGATGAGCCCGATGTAGCTGTGCTGGGGCTTGGGCTCCTCGGGCTGGAGCGCTCTCGGGAACAGGGGGTAGCACGTCAGCGGCGTCGGGAACGGGTTCAGGAGCGGGTAACGGAGCCGCTCGGCGACGGCATACTGGTAGAGTTGCAGCCGGTACTGGTCGATGGGTAAAAGGGCCCGGGGCCCGCTGGCCTCCAGCGAGAAGGGCATGGGTAGCCTCGGCGAGGCGTTCGGAGTCTCGTTGCTGCACATCGCACTCACATAACACACAAACTGGCCAAGATTCGTATCAGTTTGTGCGATTAATTATGTACCGTCGCACTGAATGGATAAACTATACTGTAGTGCGAGACCCATCTGGGCATCTAAACATGCAACAAACACGAACTATTTGTGGACCAATATTTGGTAACAGGCCGTGGGCGGAGCCTCCAATATCCAATCGCGGCGCGCGCTGCCCTTCCGGAAAAAGCGGAAGCCACGCCCAGCCATGTTGTTAAACTCGTGTCCTCTCTCAGGGATAACTACCCCGATACCCGAAATCTTCGCTATTTGTCTATGCAGAAATCAGTCGCGTTTGCATTTTGATGCTCTCGCAAGTGTCACGTGACGCCGCAGGATCATTAATCACACCCTTTCCCGCCTGATTGCCACTCTTCTCCTCCTTCGTTTTTTCTCGGTTTGGAGATCTAGTTAGTTTTGTGGCACAGTTTTGCGATAAGCGCCTCCCACCGGCCCCCACCAGATAATGAAATCTCGCCCCGAGAAACCCTCACTTGTTTCTTCTACATTTGCAGTTGTTGCCTAAATATTGCCATTATTCGCACTCTGCAATAGACAATAAGTGCATTCGTTTAAAGGAGCGCCATGTTGAATTTTAATTTTAGCCGACAGGTTGCGGATGCTGCAACTGTGACGGCTTTTTGTTCCGGTGTTAGCACAGTGCCATAGTTTCACTGACCAACTGTCACTTCGAACTATATATAAACTCTAACACCTCAAACAATAAATTAAAATGGGGTGCTTAATTCCAGTGTGTTCGCAGAAGGGTAACAGTAACGCCCATACACAGTTTAATTCAGGCTTTCGGCAGCCATCTGCATTTTTTGACAACAATAACAGACGTCGGCATATAAAGTTCGAGCTGTTTGGGGATACGTCAAACAAAACAAATCTAGAATAAACGTCCATTCTTGTGATATTTACAATTATGCCTGCACCGGGTGTTTCAAATAATTCTACTTCCCTAACAGATTCACTTTAATGTACTTTGCTGTCACAAGTCGCACAAGCACCGCATAATCAGATTTAAAACTAATAAACAAAAAATGGGCGACTAATTTTAAATTGTTTATTAATAAATAAAATAACTAGGAGTAAAATTAATGTTTTCAATTAGTTGTACACATCCATTATGCTGCACTCATGCGACAAATGTGATACTAAAAAAAATATTTGATATTACCTAACTGAGTCTCTTAATTTAAAAAGTTTCTGGTTATAAATAAATAATATGCCTTTCGTGAACTATATTTAATTATTTTCGGGCTTCTTAACAAAATCGTCCTAGGCAGAATCGTACCTGTCGACGACACTAAGAGGCAACAAATCTTAGATTTATTGATGATTTACCATAGTCGCCAAGACTCGTGGCGCAAACTTCTTTCTCACTAAAAACTGAGATTATTACACTTTCTTTGTATAATATATAGGTAGATATTTAGAGTTGTTTTTAATTTGTTAGGCTTTACAAAAATAATTTATTTTTGAAATTCCGATTCAACGTTGTGACGTTCAATTTTCTTTTTTTAACAGTGCAATAATAAAATTACAACAGTACTTACATATTATTTTTAACAGTAGTATTTTAATATTTTGTGGAGCGTTAAACAGAGGAACGCGCATTATTATAGAATCAATTTAAAACGTTCGAATTTCCAAATATTGATATTTCAGTTTTTTCACTCTGTATTTTATTATACTAAAGTTTGTTTAGTTTTTATTCTCTCTTTTCAGAAATAATCAACTTATTTAGATAAAATATACGATAATATATACGTTGAAGACTATACTCTAAACTTATTTTTAACTAAGTATGCAGTGTTCTGTTTTCAAAGAAAACACCCTAGATATTTTTACATTTTTGATTGGTTCTTCTTAGGGGTTACAACCACAGTTTTCTTTTGAAATGTTGATACGACGTTGCCAAGTTACTCCAATTTCTTTGAATTTTTTTACCAATGGAAGGGTTGACATAAAAAATCGCAGTAGGGTTATTTTTAAAGTCTGTCTTACAATATTTTGTGGACGTATAAATAAAGTCATGTACTTTGTTGCGGTATCAACTAAATCAAATTTTAATATACACAGGGGTTATACAAATTTTTAAAATTTTTTTATTTTCAAATATCGATATTTCAGTTTTTTTTAAGAAAATAAGATGGAATAATGAAATAGCGTTCTACTTGAAAAAACTGTAATATCGATATTTGAAAATTGTAATAATTAAAATACTTTTTATAAACACCCTATAATTGCTTTTTACCGCAAGAAAGCGCGTACTTTCCCTTATTTAGGCACAAAATCTTGTAACAGATTTTAAATATAACTCTACTGTATTTTTTTTTGTGAATCTTTGCATTGCTAAAAAAATTCAAGAAAATGTGGCAACATCTTAATTTTAAAAATAACTTGTGGTTCTAAAGCCTAAGAAGAGGTCAATTAAAACATGTAAAGATCTACCGAGTGTCTGGAAAATGGCAAATTAACTTTTAAGTACCTACGTTACGTTTCGGGAGTTCCAAAAAATAATAAAAAAAAAAACTCTTTATTTTATAAAAGTAAAATTGGTAACACTGCACGCATCTAATACGTGAACACTTCCGACTTACTTTCTGATTTCTTAGTAACGATAATGATTGAAATCCACCGATAATTTTTTTTTTAGAACAATAACCATAACCAGTAGTCATTGTGCAAGAAAAGAGAGGGTGGGTGGGCGGGGCTAGTGCCTGCTAAGATAAGACTGATTTTGGCAAATAACGTACCTTCTATGAAGGGAAAGGGTGGGTGGGCGGGGCTAGTAGCTGATAAAATAAGACCAATTTTGTCAAATGACATACTCTCTAAAAAAAGAAACATTTTTGACAGCTTACTCGATTTTTGGTGATTTGTACCTTCGCTTTATATCAGGTAAACATTGTTGTCAAGTAGAAATTTATCAAATTATTACAAAAACTATACAACCATATCACCATGGGCGAGAGAAATATTAACTATAAGTTAAAAATCACTAGTTATTGTGATAATGAATTTGTTATTTAGTTGTTAAATGTAGCAAAAAAACAAATTTTAAAATAATTATAACTCCAACAAAAAGTGAGAAGGAATTTTTTTACTATTTTCCCCACTCACCAATTAATTAAGAGCGTAGCGGAGAGTTAATCCCCCATTTTCCAGAAACCCGGTTTAGCGTATTTCATTAAAAAAAAAAAAACTAAGTTATGTGATACGCCTTAACAACAGAATATTTTGTAGGTACAGTTAAAAATAATTTTAGAGTATGGATCAAAAACCGTACAACTTCGGTCTTTTTATTTCTAATAATTAATGAGATATCGATTTCGCTTAGTGACTCACCATGTATATTACAATAAAAAATAGTAGCGCTTCCAAAATTTTGGGAAAATATATAAACTGTGTCTGATTTAAAAAGTTGATTGACTCATTAATATTTTTAAACGTTCTCTAAACAACGTCATTAACATTTTGGAATGGATAGAGAAGTGGGTAAAATTTGAGAAAAATCGTTTTTCTTAAACTGTAATTTTTTTAGTTTTTTTTCCAAACACCTATGCACATGAGATCAAAAATAGGGGAGAAATAATATAACGGACAGAGAAAATATTATTTTTCACAAAGCCATTGCCTTAGTGGTTGTTAAAAGAAACTGTGTAAAGCTTTATTTATTTTCAAATTCTTTCAAAAACAAAACAACACTTCTTTAAATTTTATACAAAGGGGCAGCAAATTTTCAAAATTTTATTGGTATTTCAAAGCTAACCATGAAGGTTGGACCCACAATACCATAAATCACAAATTCAATGCAACCCTGGATGTTTCTAGCCCACTATACACTGGCGGCACGCTCCTTTTATTGGCGTCATTATTCCCCTGCATTGTCCGACAATCCTTCAAAGTAGCGGTTGTAAAATTTTACTAGGTACTGATGTAGTGTAGGAACTGTACTTTTTCATTCAGGAAAATTTTCCACGGGTTCCGTTTATTATGAATAAAAATCGCTTGGCGAATTTCTTGGAAATGTCGGCCGACTTTTTCAAAAAAAAAAAAAATTCTCATAGATTGTCGAGTGTAGGAATATGTTATTTTTATAAAATTTAAATAATATTTTGAGGTTATGTCGTGACATTGTTGATGGATATGATTAGACAAATTTTGGTTAGCATTTCTATATATAGGTACACTCCTAGAATACTTACATATAAAATTTGACAACAATGGGTTCAGTTTAGTTTATTTTATATGGTTCTACTATATACATTATATACATATCTATAGATAAAATGTCTTTTTGTTGTTGGCCGTGCTTTGTGTATGTAGGAATGTGTAAGATAGTGGTGTAACGAGATATTTCGCTTATAATTACTACCTATAAGAGATGTTAATTTTTTCAAATGTATGTTACGTGTCAAACGAGCACAGCACGAAAAAATCGTACATATTTTCCACATACTTTTTCGTATTTGTATATTTAATTACACCCTGGTTGCGTGATATGTGAAACCAGCACTATATGCATAGAATAAGCGAGAAATGTGGAGGTAGAGCGACATTTCGGGCATCCGTATGGGTCGGTCCTGCGCTGCGCCATTCGTCCGCCCGTATCAATTTCTCCAAATTTCCCAAAATCATCCAATATGGCTGATCGTCGATCTGGCGTAACGTTTGATGCGTTTTATTCGATCGTGCGGACATATCACGGACTGACAGTGTGTTTAGGAACACAATGCGTGACACGAGATACGGTCAGAACCGTGACCAGAATGAAGCACAATAGTTTCATCGATCTATGGACTATTCGGACGGAAACCACGATTGAAAATGCACTAATACGCCTAAATTAACTCCAATGCTTTACGGCTTTAACTTTCGAACAATTCCCCCAAAAGGGCTAATTTGATTTTTGTTTTATTTGGTTTTGTGTCGTATTCAAAGTCCGTGAATTTTTTTACTTTGGAGCTTTTTGCGTATTTTGCGAGAGTTTTTCTGGAAAAGAGAGATGCAAACTGAGGGAATTATTCA